ATCAAGAATCGTACTATTTTACTATTTGAGATAGATGAACGTTTTTTTGAAGCTCGTGCGATGTGAGGTCAATAAATTTATCATTAGTAAAATATTCCACTGTAATCGAGTTTTCGTAACGTTAAACATCCTATCGTACAACGTTTCCGATCGCTGCAGTTGCTAGTTGCTACTCGATTTTGTCACGTCTCGTTCGAAGCGATAGCCCGATGATCTCAAAGTATAAAACGCATGTATGAAACACTGTGTGTGTAATGCCCCCTGAATACAATTACATAACGTTTACGCACAGACGTTTACTGAAACATTACCATCCTTTGTTAATCACGATATTAAATATTGTATAATGAAATTATAGGGAAATCAAATATGTTAAAAATGTACGAGTATACAAATAGAATATCAAAAACAAAATAACTGATCTTGTTATTTGTTACAATTAAGAATGCATGTTCAACACAGGCGCGAGTTCACTGATATAAAAGGAATACCGCAAGATTAACAATTGACACGAGTCACTTCTCTCAATTGTTCTATCTAGCAAATTGCTTTCAACAAATCATTTGAAAGTTCTCGAACTACGTTCCACGAGAGAGTTCTTTGCTAGTTGAACAATTAACTGGATTCGATAAGGATAATTCAATCGTGGTTGACCATTTAAGAAATAAGATTAATGTCCTAAAATTCTTATGATGGAAGATTATTAAAATTCCATCAAAAAGAATCTCGACAAACACATTGGCCGGTATTCAGATCCATTATTTATTTTTAAAATCGTCTTAAGTCCCTGTTTCCTGTACAAGACAGGGACTGGGAACATAGGATAAGCAAGGATAGCAAGTGCTTAAAATTTTGAATACCAACCATGGCCATTCTCTGGTCACGTTTCATGAAAATCGAAAAAAGATTCAACCAGATTTTATCATTTGATTTAACAAAACACCAAACAGATTCTGACAGACCACAGAGAGAGAGAGAAAGAGAGGGAGAGATATTTCTCTCGTTCATGTCGTAATTTACGTACTCTTTGTCTCTCCCCACCCTAAAGTGTTTAAATATATAAGTAGAAGAGAGCATATTAGCCGGGCTAAGTATTACCGATCGACGGAGTCTCTACTACTTACCTTAGGTATCTGAATCTCGACTTGAAAATAAAAAAAGGAAGGAAGGTTGATAGGACTCCAGGATGGCAACGGCAAAATTCAAGGAACCATCTCCGTACTCGAAACCGCGAGCCGCACCGCCCGTGCAGGACTTCCTCCACACACAGTGAGTCCTTTCCCAGTCCATTCTGCCGATGGAAAGATTTTCCATATTAAGGATAGAAACAATCTTTCACGGAATACTTCTGTTATCTTCTTCTCCTTTCTTGAATATATAAGTTCATCGCGCTCGTTGTTATCATCGCACATCCTTTCCCAGTCCATTCTGCCGATGGAAAGATTTTCCATATTAAGGATAGAAACAATCTTTCACGGAATACTTCTGTTATCTTCTTCTCCTTTCTTGAACCTTTCTTGAATATATAAGTTCATCGCACTCTTAGGTACTTAGCGGACCTGACGTTGAAAAAGGATCTACATCATCCTAAGGTGAAGCTGGCGTTGTTCGGTGTTGGCCGCGCTGGTACCATTCATTTGGGGAACATACTCAGGAGCCCGCGTGTCAAACTGCTTTACATCGTCGACGATGTGGAGTCGAAATGGGGAAAGCTCAAAGAGTACTGGCAGCTGGAGGATGTTATCTTCCTCACTAGTAAACAGGCCGACAAAGTGTACAACGATCCTAAGTAAGCAATTATGCTCCTCCATTTATTCGTATAATTATGCTCTTTCAATTAATGCTCTTCGTTTCACAGCATAGATGCGGTGGTCGTCGCCTCGCCCACGTACACGCATCAAATGATCGTGAGTAAAGCGCTCCAGGCAAAGAAAGCTGTGTTCTGTGAGAAGCCGATTGCCCAGGATATTGCAACGACCAACGAGTGCTACCATACAGCCATGAAAGTTGGTAAACCCTTGTTCTGCGCGTTCAATCGACGTTTCGATCCTGCCTACGAAACAGTTAAGCAGAGAGTTAGAAACGGAGAGGTGGGTCACGTGCATCTGATCAAAACCGTCGCCAGAGACTCGCCGATGCCGACCATGGAGTACATAAAAGTATCCGGCGGTATATTCCACGACTGCATGGTTCACGATATAGATATAATGACCTGGGTCCTTGGCGAGTATCCCATCAAGGTAAGAATTCTCGATTTTCCTGCTTCTTCTATTCTTCAAATCCGTCTCATCCGAGAACGTTTCTGATCGCAGGTCTCTGTGCAAGCTCACGCGCACACACCGGAAATCAAAGCGATCGACGATTACGACACTGTCGTTGTGTCTCTCCACTTCCCCTCTGGTACTTTGGGTGTGATCGACGTGTCAAGGAACAGCGTGTTCGGTTACGATCAACGGCTGGAAGTGTTCGGTCCAAAAGGGATGATCTCCGCGGACAACGAACAACCGATGCACGCCGTCACGTCGCAGATAGGATTGCAGGGTCAGACCTCTGCTCCGATCTGGTATTCGTTCCCCAGCAGATTCATGAACGGCTACCGCCGTGAACTAGACCACTTCTTGGACGTGGTTGTAGGTAAATCCGTCCCCTCGGTGCAACCGAAAGAGACGCTGGCCGTCTCGAAGATTGCTTCCGCCTGTGAAGAATCCGCGAAAACCGGGAAAATGGTTGAGATCAAATGGGCACCGAAGGAACTACCGGAGATCGTCTGATTCCCGTTAGATCGATTTTGTACCTAAGAATTCTCCTCTTCCGAAAAATAATAATTTCTAATAATTGAAACGATGAGTTCCTATCTATTCGATCGTATCTCCTTCCTGTCAACGCGCACAAGAGTGAAGAAACTCGGATGAACCATATTTTGTTATACGTCTTTTTATGGATATAATAATATAAAGAAAATACAGAAAAATACCATGTACCCTAAATAGACAGACAGTTGACACAAAATACGTCGACTTCGATGCGAAAAGAAGAGAACGAAACAATAAAAGTTGCGATAAGTTTATTCGTATCTTTTTTTTCTTCTCCCTTTTGAATATCATTATTTTTCTTTGTAAAATTATCAAATTGTAGAAGAGGAACTTGTATTCTTAGTTCCTTGCTCATCAAACATGAATCGTTCTTAGAAATGCATTCCATTCCATTTCGATCTGATCATTAGAACTTAACGAGAACTATGAAACGTTCCTAACTTAGAACCGTACCTTAATGGTGACCCTTAAACTTATTTATTGCGTGTCGACAGACGTCTGCGTAGCAAAAACGGATAAAAGACAGATAGAAGTTTTACTAGATAAACGTTCGTCTTTGTGAGACATTGAGCCTATATGGTCATCCGGCGAGATGAAACACGTCGGATCTGATCGCCGCGCGACGCGTTGGTCGTGTGGTTTCCAGATGCATCGAGAGATACAGCGATTTCGTCGATTCACTTTTGTAACGATTAGAGCCGAACAGAATTATACAGCTTGAAATTTGATCGATCGTCGAGCCGAATATGAATTCACGGAAACCATCACAATTTGTATCGCGTCCCTCGTCTCGTCTTATGGTCTCAACTTGGTGAACAACGAGTCCGTGGCCTGAGCCTTGTCCCCGTTAAATCTGCGCAACTCCGCGATAACTTGCATCCTGTTGAACCCCAGGGACACGATCTCCACCACGGTCTCTTCGGTGAACGGATCGTGGGGGAACACGGTGCTCTCTATTGCACCCAGCCTGCTGCTCGACGTCCCGCCGAAACTACTGCTTGTTCCATCTGAAAGATACGCACAACAAAAAAGATTCCGCCTAACGAGTGATCGATCATTGAACGCTATCACGCATCGTGAAAGCTCTCGTCGAATAGTCATTAGTCCAGGCGAACCTAGGAATCTGGTATGGATCATCTGGATTCCCTGGATACACGTGAGTTATAAAGGTAAAGGTACAAATATAATTCGAATGCGTCTTCGAGATTAGGAAGGGATGGCCTGGACAGATACATACTTACCAGGTTGACGACGCTGTTCTTTCGCGCCTGTGGAACCGCCCTCCAATGCTTTCTTCTTGTTCTTGTCCTCTTCCACGTCGTACATACTCGCGTCGCTGTACCCGCTGAGCCTCAGCCACTCCGGCAACTCTCCTATAGACGAGCGATTAAACATTTTTATAAAACACAAAAAAATATAAAGCGTGATTTCTTAGTCCGGATCTCCAGGATCTGCACCTTCGGCTAGGAACGGTGTTTCGGCGCCGGTGGTGCCGATCGTGAGCACGCTTTTCTTGAGATCTATGCAGCATTGATGCCTCTTCAGCATGTCCAGGCCGAGCAACATGTCCATGCTCTGCTCCGCGAGGACGGTGAACGAGGTGGTCAGATGATCATTTCCAATCTGAATCTGCACCATGTGGACTCGACCGATGATAGGCTGGGTACCGACGCCGTGAGCTATCCCGGCCCACCTGGTGTCCACCAACCGCATTATATGGCATCTCTCGGCGCACGCATCGGACATTATAGTCGACTGTGCACCTGATTCAGAAAAACACGAGACCGTGAATATTCCGGCGTCTAAATTTAAATCCCCTCTCTACTTTCTTTCCCGCTGCAAAGAATGACTTCGAAGCTGCACGAATTTAAAAATAGACCAACCCACGAGCCGTGAACAAAGACGATTAAAAATAATCTTGTCTCCAGTCCAATGGATTTGTTTGTCTCGAATCATGTGTCTGTACCTGTGTCAATAAATGCTTTCACTGGGAATCCGTTCACTTTACAGTTAATGTACAGCATGACCACCGAGCCAAACGTCTCCGGATTGTACTCCATCGCGGCTTCCATGTTCGCCTCGATGTTCTTTTGCCTGATATCCTCGGCGATGAACCTTTGAGCCTCGGTGTCGAATGGATCCGCGTTCATCATCCGGAGTCTCTGCGCCTCGCGCTCAGCTCGCAATTTAATCTGTTGTCGCAGTACGGTGGAGAATCTCTCTATAAGTAATAAAGGACCACAGTAAAGACGAAATGCCTCTCCCTAAACCATTCCAAGGGCTTCAGGCATCCGTTTGCTCACCAAGATTTCCAGAAAGTAAGGCACTGGCCAGCTCAGGGTTGTTCTGACTGAGCAGCGCGAGCTGATCCGGGTTAGCTAAGAACATGTCGCGTATCATCTCCGGATCGTCCTCCTCTCGAGGGTTTTGCATGCGGGCTATACTGCTGCTGCTGGCAGCCGTCGACGGCGTCTGTCGACTCGTCGACGAGCCTGGCACTCTGATGGAACTGAAGTCCAACATGGGAATAGCTAGAGTGACGTATTCTTGAAATTTAGTATATTCGCTTTTCTGCTACGCGCGATGCGCTCGCAACCCGTCAGTGCGTACAAGAAAATAAAGTATAAGCTACTGATCTCCGCACTGTCGGGTTCACCAAGCTAGGTGTACAAAGAAAAACGCAACGAAAGCACAAATTAGCAGAACTGCAGGCGTCTGGACACGACGAAGGGGAAAAGACGATACAAGAGAAAATCACGCACATATAAAAATACTCGATTAAAACGAGGCTGAACTTGCATCGACCAGGTGAAGCTGAACTAAAATGAGCAGGATGAGCATGCTCGATCGCTGAATTAAATGGGGATCGTGATCGATAATGTACAGAGTGATAAATAAAACGTAAAATCGAAGCCGCAAAGCTAACCTCACGATCACCCGCCTCGATCGCCACTTTAAATAATGTTGCTGTATTGAAGCTGACCTCCGTTTAACGGGTGCAGGTTCTGATGCATGTGCTGCAAAATCACCACGTCACCGTCCCGGATACCATGATCCTCCAGCGAGCGTTTGTCGTTCATCAACGGTAGCCCGTTGAACGCGATCATCATTTCATGGACCGGCACGCCGCTCTCCACCTCGCACAACGCCTTGAAACTCTCCAACTCCATGTCCTCGATCACGTCCAGGACGAATATGTCGTCGCTGAGCGTGGTCACCGTCACCTTCATCCTACCGTGAGTAGCCCGTCCTGACGATCGCCTGATACTGGGAAACTGTTTCGTCGAACTGGAGGCCGTATGGAAGAAGAGGATGTGCTCGGTTCTATTTCACGGGTGAATTTTCGCCGCTCCCCTCGCGCGGGACGGGCGGCCGTACGAAGAGCGGCTCCGGGATGTAAACAACAACCCAGCTCAGCGAAAATACTGGCTGGCCTCGAACTGCCACCTGAACTTTGCTCTCGATCGTATCGATACATCGAAGCGGCGGAACTCGGCGCGGCGGAACTTTCAAAATTTCTGTACACGAATATGCGCTAATAAATGTGGAAATAATAAGGAAACTATCTGATTTAATGTTAATTAATAAAGTAATGGAATAATCGATCGTCATTTCTATAGTCTAACCTTTAGAAACAATAGCGAAGAATTACGATATATTTTAGAGTCTCTGTATCCTCGTGTCTTGATCTACGAATAATTTAATATTCCCGTTAATGAATTCTACGATGAATTAAAGAAAAAAACTGATTAAATTTTAATTGACGTAAGAATCGAACGACACGAGAAACGAAGCGACTGTCCTTTTAGTACGGACGATTCTCGACAGAGGGTAGAACGATGAACTATTCGAATATCAAACACACCCCTAACAATCGTACCCCTATTTCTATTGAATTAAAAGAACACCTCTGTGCAGATGTGGAAATAATATGCACAGAGCAAACGAATCTCGTTGGGTGACAATGGGAATAATCAGGATTTCGATATCTAACGATCTCTCCCGCAAACAATTTAGGAATTAAAACACCCTTGACGATCGACCGATTGATAGCTTATCACCCTCGATCGATGATCAAATCTCGATAAGCGAAACTTAGCGCATATGCACCGCGTCTTATAATCCACTACAAAATTGCTGATATAATATAAATGATATAAAAACGAAAAATATAACTGATACATCTGTAAGTTGACGAATATAATCAAACGAATTGATTTTAATTTTAGAAAAATTGATTCTGCGTTTCTGACACTGGATTTACAAAAATTAGGAGAGCCGACTAAGTTCTTCTATTATTATTTCAATAACGGTGTTGCACAACATTAGGCGCACACCTTGCGCGATGTTTGCGCCGGGACATCCGGTAATCAAGCGAATCATGCGCTAATTTAACCATCAGCCCCGTCCTCCTGTGCCACCTGTCTAATATCCACCTCCGCATCCGTTTCCGGTTTACCCCCTGCGGCGTTCTCGTAGCGGGACACCCCAGGAGGGCGCGATCCCTTGAACGTTCCACGGTTCGCTGAACCACCTTTGCCCCGCGCTCTTTCTCTGTACAAATCGGTTTGCCATCGGAAAACGTCCTACGAATTCGTTTACAGCAATTGCATATTTAGATCCTTATCTTTAGATCAGCCACGTCCACAGGAGGCCTCAGAGTGTCGCTAGCTTGCAACGCACGTGGCTCATGATTACATATAAAATAATATAGAAAACAAAGTTAATCATCAGAAATTGGGTCATTTGCTGTTTAATAATTTATGTTGAAATGATTTATGAGAATCACTGAATGAATAAATCATTGTATATTATTATAAATTCAATGACTACCGGATAATTTAAAATATTTACGACTCATTCTGCATATTTTAATTAACGAAGAGAACAGATTAAAAAAATATTATGCATCATGTTCTCTTATTATGTTTGGAGGGTGTCAGCCTTCTGGAGGACCGCGAATCGATTAGAACCGAGAGATGAATCGGTCATGGGGTAAATCGATTTCACGCGCCCGCTGAGTGTAAATTAATAGACACTTAGGGCGTTTGGTGATGTTTCGAGTGGGTACCGGGATGTTTCACGGTTACCAGGTGTTGCACCGGGACTCCAGGGTGCTCGGATGCACCGTGGAAAATCGGTTACAGCTACGTGTAAATGCGCTTTTGTAAAATTCAGTTCATTTACAATTAAGAACTGTATTAACAATTCATGTAATTCTCATTGCCGTTTTTACGATACGAAAATTTAGAAAATAATGTGAAAATATAATAGTTTCATATATGTTCTTCCTTCTTTTTGTTCGCATTTATCTGTGTAACTCCGCAAAACCGCGCACGTGCCAGGGGATTTGCCATTTAAATCTGATCCCCTTCCTCGGTTATCTCTACGATCAAAAATCCTGAAGCTCAACGCACCCGTCTCGATCCCGTATTTTCTTTACGGATTAAATTCGGAGAGGGTAATATGCATGTTCGATCTTCGCATGTGCACCTGAATCTCACAATTATTCAAATTAAACAAAAACATTCGGCAATCATAATTTACATCGAATACCCCAATTATTGTAATTATTCGATTATTTCTACGTGAATCTTTCCTCAGTTTAAGGAATGTGTTTTGTCTTTTGATAATAATCATAGAATCTGCTGTGTTTATTTTGCTACATTTGCAATAAGTAAATGTTTAAGGATGTATTGGCTATACAGTCAATCCCAAAAGTTTATGTACCTTAGAAAAACCCATTTCCTATAATTAAAAAGAAATCAGACGTCGAAAGAAGAATGCTAATAATAAATAGCTACGTGCTAAAA